CTTTAAGTTAAAGCATTAGCAGAAATTTTGATAAAAAGTTTATTAAATGAATATTAAAAAGAAAGAATATAGATTCAATTTTTTTGTAAATATAAAATATTTATATCTTATTAATTATATATTATACAGAATAAGTAATATAGTCATATACAGTTAGAACTCAATATAACGATTTGGGATAAACTGATTTTAGCTTATACTGATCTTTTTTCTCAAACTAAAACTATATATAATTAATCTTACTACTATATACCAATTTTCTTATAAATTTTACGATATTACATATACTGATGTCAGATCATAAACTAGCTATATGTATTTATTCATAATAAGTTGATACTGATTTTTTTTCAATATATCAATCATCATTATAAAGAATATTTTTTTATTCTATATACTGATTTTTATTGATCTTTACCAAATGAAGCAAAATAATAAATGTTAACTATAAAATATATTTTTTATTGATAACTCATCCCCTTTAATAACTCTTTTATATCATTAGTATGTCTACAAATAATAAAAATAAGCATGTTACCCTATCTATATCTCAAAAGCAAAAACTTTGTCAAAAGAAAATTGATAATCTGAATACTTCAAATATTGAACTTGCTGCTTATTATAATGTAAATCTAATACAGTTAGTGATATTTTAAAAAGGAAATCTGAATATTTATCTACTCTTAGCTCAGAATTAAAAAGGAAAAGATTAAGGCAACCTATATATAAAGAAATAGATGATGCTGTTGGAATTTAGACATCTCAATTTTTAGTTGCAAATCAAATATTAAGGGGTGATGTCTTACAAAATAAAGCTAAGCAATTTGCAGTTAAATTTGGCATTACTGGATTTACTGCTTCTGCAGGCTGGCTGACAAATTTTAAAGAAGAAATAATATCCGCTCATATATTAAATTAGGTGAAGTTGCTAATAGACTTTCATTAAAAGAAATTGATAAATATAGACAAAAAATTGGTGAAAAATTATCTGAATATGCATTGAAAGACATTTATAATTGTGATGAGATAGGTATTTTCAATTAAATATACAATATTATTACTTGATTTTTAAATGTTTTGATTTATTTATTATTTATTTTTTTAGCATTATTTTGGCAATTAGAACCATCGAAAACTCTTGCACAAGGACCTGTAATTGAAACTAAAAAATCTAAAAATAGAGTAACTATTTTATTGATATATAATGCTACAGATGAAGATAAACTTAAACTATTATTCATTCATAAATACAAAATCTCTCGCTCATTGCGTAGTATAGTTGTTGAAGATTCTGTTCAATATTATTAGAACAAAACTGCATAGATGCAATAATCAATTTGGCTTAATTATCTGAAAAAATTAAATGAATTAATGTATATACGCTGTAAAAAAATTTTATTGTTAGTTAATAATGCACCAACACATAGTAAACAAGATGAATTGCCTTTTTTCAGTAATATTGAGATTTATTATTTACCACCTAATACAACTTTATATTTACAACTTTTGGATCAAGAAATTATTAATTCATTTAAAGTAAGTACAATAAATTTATATTTAAAATTATTTTTTAGTATTTTTATCAATTTTTTTTTATTAAATTAAGGCTAAATACAGAAAATTATTAATAGAAAATAGAGTTGAAGAGTATGATATTTCACAAGAATTAAATATGCCTATTATTCCCATTAATATTCATAATATTATTGAATTTGTTGTTGAGGTATGAAATCAGGTTAATCCTATCACAATTAAAAATTGCTGGTTAAAGACTGATATTATTCCATCAGATAATGAGTTAAATATAAACGTGAAGCTTAATTTTGATAGGAGTAATGTTGAAAATAATTTAAATGATGCTATGCAGAAGCTATTATATAATGATATTTTACCTATATTAGAATATATTAATGCTGATAAATTAAGTGAAGATAAGGTTTTATTAGATAATAATAAAATTATTGAAACAGTGTGATCAAGATATAATATAGAAGAAACATAGGATGATGAAGATAAATTTATTTCTAATATTTCTTTAAGTAATGCATTGAATAGTGTTAAAAATTTAATTACTTTTCAAAATTTTCCACCAGAAAATTATAAGGTTACCAATGATGAATTAAAGATTTTAAAGGGAATTAGAAGAAAAGTCTTAAAATTTAAATCCAAATCTGCACTTTAATTAAATTTAGATGAATTTGTAATTTTTGAATAGGATTTTATCATAAACATAATAAATGCATAATAGTATATTTTCTGTTAATAAATAAAGCTTTTATTGCAAAAAAAATTGATAAACCGAATTATAAAAATTTTACATAGTAAGTTTGGCATAACAAGAATATTTGTCTTACCAAATATTTAATATAATGATGCAAAATCATCTAAACAGAGGGTTCGTTATATTGAGTTCTGACTGTAGTATTAAATTATATTATTAATATCATTAATACTCTTTTCTTAATATTATTTTATTCATTTATGATATTTTGACAAATAATAGTATAATTAGAAGTATATTGACTTATTTTTACCATAATACTATACACATAAACATTTGTAAACTTTTAATATTTATTAGTTAATAGAATATATAGGCTCTTTATAATAGAAAAGGTAGAAATTATCAAAAATTTTTTTTTTAAATTAATGTTAAATCTAAATTTATTTTACTAAAAAATAATTTTTAGCTTATAAAGTAAAAAAATTATTTTGGTAGTTTTCATTCTTTTTATTACAAAGTACCTATATATTGGTTTTTTATTAAATTTAAGATTAAGAAAAAATGTTTGATGATTTATTTTTTTAGTATTTAAAATAAAATATTAAAATGCTTATGAAAAGAATATTACAAATTTTAAATATTAAATGCAAAACAAATGTGTTAAGCTTTACAAATTTAAATAATTTTTGAAAAAGATTATCACAAATATTAAAAAATTTTAATAATATATGTATTTTTTTAATAAATGAATTTCTTTCAAATTTAAGTATTATATTTTAACTATTTTTCTTTTTTATCTTTTATAGCTATATAAATTATAATAAATTATATCAATTTTTTTTTATACTGATTATTAGATATATAAAATTAAATTACATGATTCTGTAGCATATTTTATCTAAAAAGGAAGTAAACTCTTATATTAATATAATATTAGATAATATCTGACAGTACCTTAATTTAAATATTTTTTAATAACTATCTTTTGTGAGAAATAAGCATAATGTAATGTTACACGAAAGAAGACATGGATGATGATGATCTAAAGGATGACGTCGATCCCTAAGAAATCATATATGTCTTATATGTCATCTATATCGTCTATAACATATATTTCTTTTATACAATATATTTCTTTTATTTATTTTATCTTATTTATCTCATATATTTATTATATTTTATTTATTTTATATATCTTATTTATTATATTTATATCTTTGATAACTTTATATTTTTTCATTTTATATAAATAGAGGACAATTTCCTTTAGCTTAGCAGTGTGTCTGACTTATAGTTTTATATAATAGTTTAGTTTAATCCTTTTAACATAATTGTATAATACAGAGCGCTGACTGAGGCAGTACTCTATTGTTATAGTTATTAAATAAACTGTTAACTTATTGACACTCTTCTAAATCTAAATATTAAATTAAACCTTCTGCTTACCACCCATAAATATTGCTTCGCTTACCACTCATAAGCAACTTAAAGAACTGACTGTAACAGTAACTTAAAATTTTAAATAAAAATTAAAAATAATTTTGTTAATTTTTTTAAAAATTTTTATAAGAAAAATATATATGTTTATAAGTTAAAATAACTTGAATAAATAAACTCTATTGAACATGATTATTTTTATAATATTACACAAAATTTACTTATTCTTAATTTTTTTTCTGCTATAGTAAATTAACCGATATTCAAAACTATGTAATACAATCAAAACTTAAAATATTTCAATTTAAACTGATAAGTTTAAGAGCTTTTGATATTATTTAAATTAATGATTAAAATTTTAAAATAATTATTTTGGCTAGTGTAATATTAATTTAAAAATAATATATTATTATTATAAGAAGAGGTCAGTTATAAAGGTACTGTATATATATATATTAATTATTATTTAATAATATTTTTTTTTAAAAAAAAGATATTTATGCTAATATTTTATATAATCAATTATATTGATCTTCTTTTAGAAAATAATTAAATAATATAATTTTAAAAATAATAAATATTTAAAAAAAAATTTAAAATTTAATTTTAAAAATACTTATATTTATTTTGTAAAAAAAAATTCTAATTATTGTTTATCTTATTTTTCTAAATATATGATTTTATTTTAGAAAAATTTTAAAATATCATTATTATAATAATTGAAGTATTTATTATTTTTATCCTTTTAAAAGATTATAAGTTATTCTTTTAGTGATTATATCTTACTTTTTTTTTAATCTATATTTTTAAATTTAATTTAATGTATAAGAAATTATTTATAACTAGAGTTGCTAGATGGAACCTAGAGGTTTTGCAAGTAGTCTAAATGGTAAAAGGTAAAATTTAGCGAAATTATTTAAAAATCTACGAAATTCTAGAAAAGGTAAAACTATATCAAAGCTTATAAAAATGCGAAACTATATCAAAACCTTAGCGAAACTATAGTTTAAACGTTTTGACAAATCCAAAATGAGTTTAGACAAGCAACCTTATTTATAACCAATTTATTTAAAATAATTATACATAAATAATAGATATATGTATATATAATTTTTAACATGATATTTAATCATTATAAACTTTCAATTTTAATATAATTGTTAGGATTTTTCACAAATAAAAATTATTTAAAGACTTTTTGATATTATTATTAAAATCAGATGAATAATATGTTAGATATTAACTTTAATTTTAACGTTACACCACCGTATAATTAATTAAATCACCATAGCGGAATCACAATTTGTCAAGTCTTTTTCTAAAAAGTATGTTTGAAACAATGAGTCATTTGTTGGGAACAGAGATCGCTAACATGGTATATTTCAAAAAAGAAGAGAAGAAATCATTGTAAATTAAATTTTTTAATTCTAAATTAATTGATACCAAATTTCATAATGTTTGGAAGCTACTCTTCATTTTATCTATAGCAGTCGGTAGTCAGATAGCTGCATATTCTATTGCTGCACCTTTACAGACAGAGAAGGTGTGATTTAAGATTTTTATCGCGTTAATTTTCATTTGTGGTCGGAATGTTTAATAAAATTGATTTATTCTCAAAAGTTTTTTGATCTTGTCGGGTGGTACGTTCTTCTTTACCAATTTATTTAACATGATCGAAATTTTCGTTAAATAATACGAATCACTTCAATAATTATAATAGCGGCACATATTCAATATGTGCAATTATATCTTTACTAAAACCATGGAACTTACCATTTCCTGATGATTTTCAATCAATTTTACGACGTTATCATCCTCGTCAACTACTTGCTACTGGAATGATGATAATTTGGTCAACTCGATTAGCAACCTTCTTATTTATTCGCGTATTAAGGGCAGGACGTGATTCAAGATTTGATAAAGTTAAAAAGATACCTATGATATTTATGATATATTGGTTACTTCAAGCCACATGGATTTTTATAACGGGATTGGGTGTTTATTCCGTAAATGCTTTAGTGTGTTCATTTAACTTTGTGCATTCTTTTGTTTTTTAATCAAACATTCTAGTCCTAATCAATTAAATTCATCATAATAAGCCTAAAGAAGTTCAATCCGACCTAAGTTTGCTTGATCATATTGGGGCAGCGATTTGGCTTTTTGGATTAACATTGGAGGTTATCGCGGATTATCAAAAGACCGAATTTAAAAATAATCCAGGAAATAAAGAAAAGTTTATACAATCTGGATTGTGGAGGTGAATACGATTATTTGTGTGGAAATAATTTTCTTTCTGTACATCGAATAATGATATTTTTTGCTAATTGTTCAGTCTAAGTCGACATCCAAATTACTTTGGTGAAATTATCTTGGTAAGAGATCAAATAATTTTTAATGTTTACAATTTTATTAAAATTTTAATACGTGAAAATTTAAAATATAGTGGTATGGGGTAACTTTACTTTGTTCACCAACGATTACCCAAGTATCTCAGACCAATCCCGAAATTGTTCGTCCGTTATATGCTTATCTTGTTTGGTTATCTCCTATATTCACAACTTTCTTGATTACAAAATTATCTGGTATCCCAATCCTTGAGAAAAATAGTGATAAAAAATTTGGAAGACTTAAAGAATATCAATTATATAAAGAAAGAACAAATGTTTTATTCCCTTGGTTTCCAAAAAACAAAGTTGAATAAATAATAAATCTAAAAAATATATATATATCTTTGCAGTTGTAACACAGCCTCCTTTATATATATAAAACATTTGTTGATCACATTCACCTTCACACATTCTCTATAATGTTAAATAAAGAAAAATCGCGTCCAGGACGAACGTTTCGACATAGACAACGTCGACGCAAAGTTAACGAAAAACAACAAAAAGCCAAAAAAAGTGAACATATATTAGTTTTAATTGATTAAACGGATAAGACAAATCATTTGTATTTATTAGTTATATTATTTATAGTTATTCAGGAAGATAATTGGACTAATTTTCGAGAATGGTTAAAAAGAAAAGGATTTCCAAAAACGAATTTGACTTTAGCTGAGTTTCAAGGTTTAATCTTTTTCACTTTTATATTTTTAGTGATACTTTTTTTTTTTTGTTCCTAACTCTATCTTTTTCTTAGATACGGGAAGAGGAATGATGGCAACGAGAAATATTAGTGTAATGGTTAAGTGCCTATGCTTAATTTATATAATCTTTTAAAGCCATTAACATTTATATTCTTAGGCTGGTGAAATTATAATATCTGTTCCGAAAAAGTTTTTATTAACTCATGATAGCTTGAGAGATCAATATTATCGGTATATTTAACAGTTGCACTTTTCTTTATAGAATCATCAAATTTTGTTTACTTGATATATCATGTGTAGGCACCCAATGAAGTTCTCCGCACACCAGTTTATAGCCTTATATTTAATTTTGGAATATAAGAAAGGAACACAAAGTAATATTTATCCGTATATCGATATGTTGCCAAAGGATTTTGACAATATGCCACTAACTTACGGCAAAGAAATTTTCGATTTATTGCCATATAATGTCAAAGGTAAAATATCATAACATAATATGAGAAATTCAAACTAAATTCACATGTATCTATAACTTAGTGGACGTGGAATCTCAAAGAGCGAAGTTTGAACGTGATTATACAGGCATCAAAAAATTCCTTGATGTTAAGTTTTTATTAAAAGTATTATGTATTTATGATACAGTTTGTAAACTAATTGGGTTGGGGTTTTTTTTCACAGGGTAAACCAGATGTTCAGTCAAAGATTTCACGCGAAGATTATTTATGGGGTTGGCTTTGTGGTATGTTAATGCTACGAGATCATGAGTAGCTTCAATCTAGATATACAATTGGATTATTATCTCACAATCTTATTACTGATCAGGTAAATGCAAATATATCATTAAAAAATAGTTTCGGTAAATAAGTTGACACTTTATTAGTATTCAAATTTTTGTAGTTAATACACGATGTATTTACCTCGAAACAAAGAGTTCGTATGATGTAAAAGATCATATTGCAATTGCTCCTTTTTTAGATTTTTTAAATCATTCACATGAGTCAAAGGTAAGAAATATAAATAGATGTGGTGAGACATAAATAATAAATTATTAATGTCACGCGACAATGTAGATCAAGGGCGAATTTAATCATATGACACAGTGTTATGAAATCACCACTTTGACCCCTTATAAAAAGGGAAATCAGGTTTTAATTTTTGACAATTTCGATATTTGATAATCTGTTATTGTTCCTTACATATATTTTTTACTTTTTAGGTTTTTATTAACTATGGACCTCATGACAATTTTTTTATATTAATGGAATATGGTTTTGTTATTCCAAATAATCCTTATAATTATGTATCGCTTGACAAAGAATTCTTTGAAATTTCTTTTCCTGGAGAGTCGGAACTCATCAGACAAGAAAAACTTGATTTGTTATTTCATAATGGCTTTTACGGGTAAACCTTTTATATTTTATATACGACCAATGCGTGAATTCACATGTAACCAATTTCTGTTCTTTTTTTTTTTAAAAAAAAATAAACAGTGATTATTGTTTACGCATATCTGAGATTTCATTTAGATTATTGACAGCTTTGCGTTTGCGTGTCTTACAACGATTTGATGACTCGGTATTAGAAACGCAAGGCATTGTACGAAAATGGAAAAACACTATTACAGGATTAACGGAGATTATTAATCCGGAAAATGAAAGATTAATGTATTTTTATCTTAAATTAATATGTGAGAATTCTTTGTTAAAATCTGAAACTGTTTTGGAGGCTTTGGTTAGAATATCTCAATTTCATTATTGCACATTATTTATTATGGACTAAATTTAAATTTTTTTCTTTTTGTTTTTCTTATAGAAAGTATTTGAAGGGACAAATGTTTCTTTGTCACACACCAAACTACTTTGGTTAGAATCAATTACCATTTTGCGTTCCGTGATCAGTATTATACAAGATTTTCAGCAGGAAATCTTTATGTAGTCTCCACACGTGTACTACGTCTTTTGTATTACCTTGTCAAACATTTGAATGTTTGTTTTACGACATCTGCGGGAGTATTCATTATTTTTATAAAAAAAAAAACGTGCCACGATTTATTACTCTTTTATTTGTTTTTATCATTTACTGCGTATAATTAATTTGGTGGTTAAATGATTTGGTAATTTTTTTTCCTACAATAGCCTAAAACAATACCATAGGATGCTGCGTAAGATGCGCAGTAAGATGCGCAGTAATCTACGTGCATTTGTGGTACAACATGAAATAATGTTAATTAATTTATGATAAAAGATATGAGACAGGATTGGTCTTGTAATACTTTTTGTATGTGATTGTACTTTTCTTTGTAATGACTATTAAATTCGCTTATATTCTTTCCATTTGCCGAATCAATAATTTCCCAAAATTGTGGCGGAAATATGCCAAGGGCGCCCGAAAAAAATTTCCTTCTACGGAAAACGCAAAATTTTATTTTTTTTTTTTTTTTTTAATAGATTTGCACTAATTAAATTTTGGGGGAGTGTAATGAATGTTTTATTAATAGTTTTTCGAAAATTATCATGTATTAGTATTGACTGCGGATATTAGTGATATTTATAATTATGCGCTATTAATCATCGCCCTTGTTAAAAGCCCCTAAAAACCGGACAGAAAACCAATTTTCGTCTTCCCAGAATTATACTATCGTTGTGCATTTTCTGACCCCCAAAAAATTTCCGTAACAATAATTATTACCCACACCCCTTCAAAACAACTCCACCTTCCTTTGAAGTTTTCACCCTGACACTTAGTTGTTTTTCTCTGAAAACACCCAAAAAGAGATTATTTACCTACTATTCATCTATTATATTGTGCAATTATTACTTTTTTTTTTTCATCTCAAGTCTGTTATTACACACCTTCCATTAGTATTTTTTACTAATACTGCGCAACTTTGTTAGCAGTTCATCATTCGTCGGATTTAAATTAAACAAAGTTTATTTTCACCTTCTCTCCAGGTAAATGACCTTGTTGCTTGAATAGTTTAAAAGCTTTATGGATTTGATTTTAGTAGACTTTTGATAAACAGCATAGCCACAATATCATAAAAATATTTTTTATTGAATAAAAAGGCCACCATCTACTTTCATAGTTAATTTTATCCCGTTTTGAATACTTTATTTTCTTTCTCTCAACACATTTTAACCAACTTTTACTTGTTCTAATTAATAGCCCCTACGCCACTTTTATACACATATAATTTTACACAATATGAGTGCTATGGACTTGAGGGTGGGAAATAAATATCGGATAGGAAGGAAGATCGGTTCAGGCTCTTTTGGTGACATTTACCTTGGTAAGTTATAATAGGAAACTTCTAGAAAATATATCAAAATATGATTATCTTGAATTACGCGTGTAAATTTTACCTATTACCTTTATCTTTGCAAATCTTTATCGTTTATTCACGTTATTATATATATAGGCACAAATATTATCAACGGTGAAGAAGTAGCCATCAAACTAGAATCCACAAAAGCTAAACACCCACAATTGGAATATGAAGCAAAAGTGTATAAAACACTTGCTGGTGGTGTGGGCATTCCGTTTGTTCGTTGGTACGGTACAGAATGCGATTATAACGCTATGGTTATCGATTTATTGGGCCCATCCTTGGAGGATTTGTTCAATTTTTGTAATCGTAAATTTTCATTAAAGACTGTGCTGTTATTGGCTGATCAATTGGTAGGTATAACATAAAAAAGTAGGATTTGAAACAATTAAAATAAGTAGTTTATATTAATGTAATATTTATTATATATTTATCTTATTTAAAATTAACTTTAATAGATTTCTCGAATTGAGTATATTCATTCCAAAAATTTTATTCATCGAGACATCAAACCCGACAACTTTTTAATGGGGATTGGTAAACGTGGCAATCAAGTAAATGTAATTGATTTTGGTTTAGCCAAGAAATATCGGGATCCAAAAACACATTTACATATCCCTTACAGAGAAAATAAGAATTTGACAGGTACAGCTCGATATGCTAGCATTAATACTCACTTGGGAGTTGGTATGTATATTATAAATAATGAAGTTTATAAATGATTATAAAAATTCTTTAAAAATTTTTTACTTAGTTCATTCATTGTTATTTTTTTTCAAAGAACAATCCCGTCGTGATGACCTTGAGTCACTGGGATATGTAATGATGTACTTTTGTCGTGGATCTCTTCCATGGCAAGGCCTTAAAGCTGCTACAAAGAAGCAAAAATATGATCGTATTATGGAAAAGAAAATGACCACACCTACAGAACTCCTTTGTCGCACATTTCCAAATGAGTTTGCTATCTATTTGAATTATACACGGTCTCTTCGATTTGACGATAAACCTGATTATAGTTATCTAAGAAAATTGTTTAGGGATTTATTTGTTCGTGAAGGTTTTCAATATGATTATGTTTTCGATTGGACAATTTTTAAATATGTTTGTAAATCATTTATCTTTATAATTTATTTGATTATAGTGCGAGTGTGTATTTAATCTTTACATAATTCTATTACCTCCTTTAGGAAAAAGACGCGAATAAAGTACATAATAATATGGCTTTACAACAAATGCCGGTTGATGAACATGGTGTTGTTGAACAAGTTGAAGAAGACAATAAAGGTCAAAAACAACGTCTTACTTCTAGACCGGCCACTGGATTAGTGAATGTAAATGAACCCTCAGCACCACAGCGCCGAACTGCAAACAAACCGACCAACTATGGTATGGGTGGTTCACGAGCTGTTCCAACAACTCAGCTACCACCATCTCAAAGCGGCCCCTCACGCTTAACACAACCAAGGCGTAGTACCAAAGAGGCTACAGCTCAACCTGTACCCTCAGACAGATTGTATGTTCGCCGTATCTAAAATAATATTAAAATTTTTAGGTATTTACTAATCTTTGATATCTAATTTTTATAGACTTCGTAGCCAAACTAAGAATAACCCACCAACATATAATATGAATTCGTTCCGAGTTAGGAAAGATGATACATCCGGTGGAAATGGGCAATGGTACTGATAATGGACATTATCAAATCGCCCTCTCAATTAAAAATGTATGTTTTTTTTACGAACAATTTTAATTTTTTCCCTTGTCCTTTATTCTTTTAGTGTGTATATCTCGTTATATACGCTACGCAAATTCTTTTCATATATCAAACCTTTTTTTTTATACCTTCCTATTTTTTTTTCCCCTGTTATAGAATGTTTTGTGCTTTTTTGTAATATGTTTAATAGTTTGACATTCATGTGGGTTTATATTCTGTCATACAAAGGAAAGTCAGTCAGATCGAAGGGAGGGACACTTAAAGAATGAAAACTGCGAGGCGGAATTCTAATAACTTTATAACTGTATTTGAAAACCTTGAGCGAACGATCTAATCGATCTGCTACAAGGCAAGAACATTTTATTTTTGCAAAGGAGCGGTGAAATATAAATATATATATATATATCTTTTTTTTTCTTTTTTTGTTTGATAATGTAGCATTTTAGATAATAGCACACAATATGCTGGGTGGAGCTGTAAAATTTATAGGCATACAGAAAATTGGCAAAAAGAAAAAAAAACAAAAACAAAAAAACCCTCACATTAATTGATTGTAGAAAAATATATATATATAAGTTTATACGATAGTTTTTTTTTTTTTTTTTTTTTGTTTTATTATTATTAATGGCATTTGAATATTCATTCCTTTATTGTATGGATTTTCTAAATATTTTGTGTTCATGAATTTTACCGTTTACATTCCCTTTCTATAGACTTACTTTAATTTGAAATTTTTAGGAACAAAAAAAAAAAAAAAAAAAAAAAATTGTCGAGGTATAGAAGCTGATTGTATTCATAGTATTCTATATTCGAAATATTGTTTTATGTATTTTCTCGAAACTCATCACAAATCAACAATTTTATTCTCATTTTTTTTTGATAACCATTCATTTTGCCATCATATTTCTTTTAAATCATCTTTTGCTATATATGCCTTTGATTTCACTTGAAGTCCAGTAGAAACGAATTTTGTAGTTTTTCTCAGATTTTTTTTTAAATATACAGAAACTTGCTTATATATATATACATATATACAATATTATTCTCTTTGTAACTTTTTTTTTAAGGTTATTTTTTTTATATTAAAAAACTGTTAATTTTACGGTTCACTTGGGAAAATTTTTTATGCTTGTGAATTATTAAAAATCATTCTTGACAACTTTTTCTTCAAAGTTTTACTTATTTGGTAATTATAATACTTTCTTTATTATTAGTATTATTAGTCCGGAACGAAGTGAAGGACTATATATTTCTATGCCGATGTCCACCCGTTTCGTAATTGGTTCGATGCTGATTGGCTTTGTAATTGCACAAAAGTCTAGATAAAGCAAATACCAATGTGAATTTTTTTAGTTAAGATCGTTTCGGATTTAACAATGGTTCCCATTTCCTAATTGTTTTTTTTTTTTTCTTTTTCTTTTCTTTACCTTTTATTGATCATTATATGAATTGTTGTAGGACATGTATGATAAAAAAACCAATCGAGTTTAGCCTTACCAATTTATAAGATCTCAGATATCACGTTTTTATAATGAAACAAAAAAAAAAAAATTTAGACTAATCAGTCACAATTATCAATTAAAATAAGGATCGCAATCAATACTTGAGCAGCTTCTCTTCTTAAGTTTAAAATGAAAAAAAAACCAATAAAAAGAATAAAAGTCAACTTAACTATACAATGAAGAAAAATGCTTGAACGACCTCACTTTATACTCTTTAACGTAACTCTATGGAAAAAAAAAAAGATGGTTTGGTTCTCCATATTATATTCATCGGAATGGTAACTCATTTGAATTTCATAATCAAACTCCGACTAATTAAATTTTCATTTCCGATCCATTGAGCTGACCCTAAATCAAAATGATTTATGATTTGTAAACCAATTTTTCATCAAAATATTATAGCAAAACTTTCACGATGATTCGTTAATATTTAAAATGTCAAAGTTTACTGAGGGATTATTTCCATTCAAATAAATTTCCCAAGTATATTAGTCGAAGCACAAAAAAAAAAAAAATAATAAAAATTATTTGCAAGAATTCTTATCAAAAAAAAATGTGTATCTTTGTTGGTCACCAAAGGGATTTATTAAAGGAAGGTCCCTTGAATTCCACACATACGTTACACCGTTGAAAAAAAAATTTGTCTAATCTTCAATAAGTTTAAACTCTTGATGAAGAGTTTTATATATTATAATAGATTTAAAGATTTTTTTTTCCAAGAAATTAAGGGTAAAAGTATAACTCGAAAAAAAAAGAAAGACGAGGTGGCTTATGTTTGTAGTACAAATCTCAATCTAGCATAACAAAAAAATTTTATGATAAAAAAATCACAAAAAAATTTTTTTCTTCACATTTAAACTTTTTTATATATATATTTTTTTTTATTAAAATGAATAGATTTACAGCTAAATCACTTTTCCATCGTCTTAAACCATCAGGTTTTTCTATTTTACAACAACAACGAACAAATTTTATTAAACCAACATTAAAAGTACTACCTTCGCCTTCTAATTCAAGGATTTTGATTACTTCTCAGCAGAGATTTTATTCTGCTGAAGGTGGTCTTTCTCGTCAGACTATTGAAGCTAGAATTATTGACATTCTTAAAGGTTTTGATAAAGTTGACCCAACTAAGGTAACCTTACATTTATATTTCAATAAAATGAAATAAATATATATATGATATATTTATTATTATTACTATTTTCTTCATTAATTGATTTTAATGAAACGAATTAACGAATTGTTTAAGGTATCTTCCGAATCACGTTTCACCGATGATCTTGGATTGGATAGCCTAGATACTGTTGAGGTTGTTATGAACATTGAAGAAGACTTCTCTATTGAAATTCCGGATAAAGAAGCCGATGAAATTAGGTCGATCAAAGATGCCGTGGATTATATCGCTAAACGTGAAGATGCTCATTAATTAATAATTCTTATTTTTTTCAATTAAGATAATTTATCAAAAAAGATATATATATATATTATTTGTAATAAAACCCATTGAAAAAGGAAATTGGATGGGAATTTTTTTTTTTAATCAAAGGACTTTCGGTTTTTAATTTCTTTTTTCCTTTTTTTTATTTTTTTTTTTATTTTATTTTATTTTTTTTTTTTTTTTGTAACAGAAAAAGAAATTGAAAAATTCAGTTCTTACGTTAAATAATACAAATATATTTAATACAGATAATGTGTATGATTGCGTCTCATCCTTATTCTATTAGTAATATTTCCCAGTAACTATAATTGCACGAAATGCTTTATATGTAATTTAATAAAAAATTTAAAAAAAGCTTTCTACAATCTACATGTATTACATAAAAATATTATTATCTCAAAATGTATTTCTGAAAATAATTTTTTCAAGATCAAAATGTTCTTCCCTACAAAGTTGCTTTAATAGATATCTTTAACACCATTTAAAGAATGGTGTTCCTCCTTTGACAAGTTCCAACTTTTCAACGATAACTCGTTTAGTCCTCTTTTCTTCCAAAGATGACTTACCCTTGTTCCTACTCCCACTATCGAAGGCAAATTTTTCCTTGAAACGACTCCATCTTTGCTTAGATGAAGCAGCAGAAAATGAAGATGTGGCAGGTGCACTAGTTGATAATGAAGAATCATCCCCGGACGAAATACTTCTTTGGTTCGGTGGAATAGAAATCTCTTCCCTTTCACCATTCACTGTTGTTGGTAACCCAGAAACTCCGCGACTTCTACCAGAATTAATATCAATGCCATTGGCATTACGATTATTTACATCGTGTTCTAATGGAATTTCTATGGTTTCTACAATATTCCACACCATTGCATTCTGTTTTTCACAAAGTTGAATCGGACCTTTATCGGGCTGCTTAAGAATTTCAACTATATTCCATCCCTGACCTTTTAATACCGCAATCTGTTTTTCAAACATTCCCGGTTCAAAATCAGCATCCATTGAAAATAAACGGTGAAGTTCAAAAACTGTCTCTTTCCACCATTTAGGGTTAGAAAGCATAGAAAGAAAATGATTTCTTGTATTAGTAGTAAATGGTTTTCCAATAAGGGCTTCAGGAAGATGAAGCCATCCATATGGATAAGATCTCCATTGATCCGGATGCTTAAAAGGAAATGCTAATCCATTATCAATAGCTGCGACATGTATATGTGGGTACGGTAGTTTATAATTTTGTGAAGAATTTGACGCAGACTGTGGTATTGCAGGAGGATCAGAAGATATAGGATCAAATAGTACATCCAAACTATCTGTTAATGCTTGATTATCTGTGTGAGAAGGTGGCTCTGAAAATGAAGAAGAAAGTTCACTGCCATCCGGTGATAATGGAGGTGGAGCATCTCCATTTGTTCCTTGAGGAGGAATTGAAATGACCTCATTACCTTTAGGATGTATCGATGCGTTACCATTTGTTGAAATATCCGGAACTTTCATAACATTTGATGCAGGCGGAATATCCATGATACAATCCTGTTCACAATATTTAATCATCCAATTATCTGAGCCTCTGTCTATAATAACATATTAATAAAGTAAAAAATAAGGATAAATATGCCTTTTTTTTTATTTTAAAAAAAAAATATATATTCAATTACCGGTATTTCTCATTAAATAATCCAAAATAACTAATTTTTCAAACTGTTCTCGAAACTGAAGCTGTAACTCCGGTGTCCATTTAAAACGTCTTCCCAAATGATGAGACTCGGACGGTAATCCTTCTTCGTCAATTGTCATAGACCGACCACATATAAGCGCGTTTAATGGTCGATGTTGTCTATCATCTATAACCACACCACTATCAGTCAACGTCGTTGCAGCATGATGATCAGGCCAAGGGTGTTCTCTCAAAAATACATTAGCGTCTTTGAATCCTTCCAAAAACACTTGAAAACTACCTATTTTTTCAGGTAAAGGTTTTGGATTTTTCTTTGATTTAGCTGCGCGACGGTCCAAATAATCATAATGAAACGATGGAGAAGAAAGCCGAACCACCTCAGTAACTGGAACGATGTTTAATAACAAACGGTGATCTAACAGGGAAGCGGCAGCTTCAGAGATGTAACCAAGATTTGGGATTAAACTTTTAGTAAATAAATAATAAAGCAATTGCATAATTTGGTTAGATAATTGTCGTCGGTTTTTTTTTTTTTTTTTTAAAAAAAAAAAAAGAGGCTTTTATTGCTGTGATTCAAGCTTACCAACTTCTTCCAAAAAAGCAAGGGAATAGATTTCTATGAATCCATTTTGTCCATTTAGGATTCAATTGGCCATATGGCTCTTCATTTTTTGGTTTAAATACGCCAACAATATTTCCTTCCACGTTCCGACAAAAATAAGATCCAGAAGAACCTTGGCAGATTCTTGTAGGTTGAATATTTATAGAAATAGCGGATTTAACAGAATCCACGATTTCAATGAACTCTTGTCGTGTCAAAGGTTTTTTATGATTTGAAGTCAAAGGAGGTGCACTTGGCTATATCATGTAATGATTCTGTCATTAAATTGAAAGTGATTACAAATTAAAGAATATTTTAATTCATATTTATAAATACCTTCCAATCCTGTAAGGTTGGAATAAAAACTGATGAATAAATTTCCAATTCTGTCTTATCCAATTTCTCCTTTCCTTTTAACCCTATTTTTTTTGAAATTTGAGACCATGCACTACGATCAGTTCGATGAGCACTACTATTATCATCTATCGAATTTCCAGGTGTATTAACACCGTCGCTGTTTCTAGTATTATCATGTTCACTTTCATAAGGAGTGACCGTTCTGTAGGTTGAAATTGGAAATTTCTGTCCTGTTTCAGACAAAGAACGTTTTTGATAACGTTGTTTGTGATTCATGCATTCGACATTACGATGTTCGTTTTCTGATAGAGTGTTGAACATGGAATCGCTTTCTTCGTTGAAGTCTGATTCTTGCTGAAGTTTTATGTAATTATTTGACCTAATCATTTTGTCAAAGGAAAAAATTAAAAGTTGTTATACAAGAGTAATTTGATACAAAGAGGATAATGGATATTGACGCTTTTCTTTTTTTATTTTTATTTTAATTTTTATTTTTTATTTTTTAAAGAATTAAAAACATGAAAAGGTATAAATAACAATGAGAAGATTGATGTATTCTATTTTTATAAAATTTTGATGCAGTATCCATCCTTTTATGGTATGAATAAGTATAAAAAACGATGCGTCAAAAAAACAATGTTCGAACGTCACGCAAATGTATCCAAAACGCGTACGAAAAAAATTCCTGAAAAATAGGAATGAGATAGAAAAGATTGAAAATTTTCACCAACCCGATTTTCCGAGATGTAATAATAAAAATCAAAAAAAGATTTTAGGATTTTCAGTTAGACAATAAAAAAAAGGGAAAGAAAAGCTTGGATCGACGCTTGAATGATACCATGTGGCTGTTATAGGAAGTTGAGATGTGATGTATTTATGATCTTTTTATGATCAATTTCGATAAGTTTAACTTGTTTTTATTGATGATAATATTACACAATGTTTGTTAAAAGCTGAGTAAAGAATAAATTGGCTTGGACGTAAAGATGATAAATTCTAAATCACGTGATGAAAGTAGGGCTCAGCGCCTCAGCCTTTCAGGCGTGAACTTCATATTTCACATGACCGAATATTTGCCAAAAATTTTTTCCGTCAGGAACAATATGGTCCGGATAACATCATCTGATAGCATTGTTGTTGATATTCCGCGAAAATGAAATGGAATTCATATTCCGAATTGGGAACAATAATAAAATTGTGAGACCAATTCTAATGTATTTCATACTAGATCAAGATTACAAATAAAATTTTCAATTTCCAAGATTTTTTTTAATCCAAATTATACATGATGAGTGATTATATATCTGGAGTTAGTGATCCGATTTTCGGAGACTACGTCATAACACGTTATTACTGCGGCCGAATATTGTTGGTTGAGAATGATAAAGTTTTTGAGAACAAAGAATTTGCATTTCGGGGACTTGTACGGCAACTTGCATTAATAACAAGATGGCGTCGTTTGCACCCTCAATTGAATTCAGAGGAAAAAAAAATATTACTATTAGGAATGATTTTTTTTTTCTTCCTTTCCTTCGAGTTACAACAGTTATGTGGCTTGGTAGAAAGAAATTTAGTTTAGTCTTTTTGAAGAAGAAAATACGAGGTAAAGTCATACGATCAGTATTTTTCTAAATCATGTGTGGATGATCACTATTTCACACACTATTACAACCGAAGTTCATTTGATTTGCTGAACTTTTTTTTTTTAAAAAAAAAGAAATGTATAAAAAAAAAGATTCTTTTTCACGTTTTTTTTTGATCCGATTGAGTGTCACAATTTTAGGAAATTACTAGAACTACACAATTTAACTAAATTAAGGAGGTTTATTTTGTTTATTAACTCGTTTATCACCAGTTTATCGGTTATTTGTGAAACGTAATGTAACAAATCACACATAACTGATTGAGAAGAAAAGTATAAAAAATACTAATATCTTGTATTTATTTAAGTAATCTGGAAAAAAAAAAGTTTTTTGTTCAAAGCCAATCAAGTTTTATCGATTGTAACCAATCAAACGTTCGTGTTTATTTGCTATATCAACATAATTGGCACGACTTGTCGTCCTTTTTTCAACCTTTTTTTTTGTTCTCCCTGCATTTTTGCCTTCCTCCATTTGATTGATTGTCTCTTTTCCTTTCACATCCATTATCCATAAATTCTCCGCTTTTTCCTTCAAGCGACTAATATTTTTTTCTTTCAGAGAAAAAAAAAAAAATTAAAAAAAGGCTTGAAGTGAAATCCACTTATTATTGTCTCGCCTTTGTCAACAAGTCAAAAGAAAAAAAAAATTTTTTTTTCTTTAATCTTTATAATATAACCTCCTCTTTTTATATATAAATAGATTCAAAGTAAATAAATATACTCATTTATTATAAATAAAAATTATACATATTTCATATAGATATCTTCTTTTTTTTCTTTACATTTTATTATTATTATTATTATTATTATATTATTATTTTTATTAACATTATTATTATTATTAAATTTGTTTTGCTCTTCTTTCCCTTCTCTTCTCTGTAATATCTATTTTTTTTTTTTTTTTTTTTTTTTTTTTTTTTTTTTTTTTTTTTTTTTTTTTTTTTTTTTGGTTTTAAAAATTTTTTTTTTATATTATTAATAATAAAAAAAAATATATTTTTAAATAATATTTCT